TCATTTTCCTGATTTCATTCACACTTATATATGAGTAAAACAGGAAACCACTAAAGAGTTTCAGAATTTGGCTTCAGGTTCAGTCTCCACTGTGTTTTTTCTTAATAAAATAATCTAATTCTAAACCTAAACCAACAGATTTAATCCTTTTTTATTTTAAATACATGTAATTGAGGTACGAGGGTCATTTATTCTCGAGATCTTGCAAACTGTTTATCACTTTTGTCCTATTTTTCACTGCTTACAGGAGAAAAAAGTCATGTTTTTCTTTTTCTTTCTCTCTCTCTCAGGGCAGGAAATGGCCAGAGGCGACTGAAAGTGGACTCAGCTTTATTTTAAACATCTAAACATTTAATCCTTTCTCTCTTTAAACCTGCATGCTGTGATTAAAGCTGGAAATAATCTGTTTTAGAGGCCTTTTCCTTTGCTTTATGTTCAAGAAAATAAATCATGAGTAAAGTTGTTTGATTGTTAATTTGTTTTATTATTATTTCATCTTTTTTTATCAGGTAAGAGACATATTTTCTGTTATTTTCCTCTCACAGCTGACTGTAAACATCTCATCCACTGGGCTCAAAATCACTCTGGATGACTCATTTTAAGGAGAAAACACCGGATTAAACATTTTTCTCGTTAATTTCTGATTTTATTCGCACAAAAAAAAGCTTCTCCCGATTATCTCACTTTGAATTTAACCGGGAAATTATAAAAAAGGACTTCTTCTTCGTGCCTCGTTGAAAACGCAGAGCCCTGCGCAATCCATTAAAATGGCGCAGTCTGAAGCCGCAAATTTCTGCAGACGTCCGTGGTTTTTCCGCCTAAAATCACTCAAAATTATTCAGATTTAAATGCATAATTAGAAACGAACACAGGCCGCGTAAAATCCTCTGTTAAATGAACAAAAACGCCCCAATCCAAAGGCCTCGTTTCCCAGGAAAGACGCTGAATAGAACTAATGCTAATAAATATGTTAACAGCACTCGATAATTCCGGCCTTAAATATTTGTTTTTTTATTATTGCAGACTTTTAAAAGCTTTTTCAAAATAACACAGGATGCGTCATTTCGCGGATTATTTCGCCGTTTTTTTAAAAACTTAAATTAATTTAGAATAGGAGGCCTTAAACACCAGTAAAATAGTTATTTTTCTTTATTAAATCATCTTTTGCGGACAAACCGGCTCATTGTTGTTATATAAAAAAATGGGAGTTGCTCCAGTAATTAAAGATTTATTTTTACGAAGAAGGAAGAAAGAGACCAACCAGGAAGAAATGTTAAAATGATTTATTGAAAAGCATCTAAAAAGCAGTCATCTGGTTATTTAGTTACATCAAAGCTTCATGATGGTTTCTATGAAAATGTCAAATATAGAATGTTAATGGAAAAGTAGTTAAAGCTCCTCCAGGACACTCTGCTATCTGGATTTGATTTATTTCTCAGGAATTAGAAATGTTAGAGAGACATTACAAAAACTTTGAGACCGTCTTTGAAGACAACAATAAACTTTTCTTTCTTTTTTTTTTAATACCTCTAAATTCAAAGTGCTTGAGTTAACTATTCTTTTAAATAATAACAACGAGCCGTCGGTGTGACCGGCTCAGAAAACAAAAATATCCACTCCAATCTTTTTTTCTTTTTTCTCTTCTTGAGCTCATTCGGGAAAATGAGCAAAACAAGAAGTTCTAGTTAGTCGTTTTTGGAAAAAAACGGCCAAAAGCCGGACTTCATCTGATTTGGTCGCCACGTTAAATAGATGCCCAACTCTGTCGTATATATATACACATAAAGTCATCTCTCCTTTATACAGAAAGTACAACGCCGGCCTGTGATTGGCCGGCTGCTGGCGGCGGCGGCCATCGATCATCTCTGGTCCCTGAAGAAGCCTCTGGAGGTGCTGCTCTCTTTGATGGTGACGGTCAGCAGGTTGCTGGTCACGTCGGTGACCAGGACCTCCTCCACGGTGCTGAGGCAGGGCCTCCACGCCCCCCCCGCCTCCTCGTGGTCGTCGTCCAGCCGGGGCGGCGAGGGCCGGTCCAGGAAGTAGGGCCTGTCCATCATCAGCGGGGGAGCGGGGGGGTCCGGCCGAGTCCTGTGCGGGTGCTTGTAGCTCCCCGGGTGTCTGTGGGCCAGTCTGTGCTCCGGGGGGGCCTCCGGGAAGCGGGGCCTGGGCTTGGGGCCCCTCTTTTTGGGCCGGGGGTGCAGCTGGTGGTGGTGGTGGTGGTGGTGGTGGTGGGGGGGGGGCGGGCGGAGGCTGAGCTCGGGCGGCCGGAGCCGGACGCTCTCCCCCCGGTTGACGGTGCTCGGGGGGAAGATGGTGGGCACCACGGCCCGCAGCCCCTCCCGGGCCCGGGGGGGGGCCACCGGCTCCGGGCTGGGGTAGCTGACGTGCAGCCCCCGGACCGCGTCGCTGCGGAAGTCGTACGACTTGGACTTCACCTTCGCTTGGGCCTGAAAGAAAACGAGAGGGGGGCTAATCTGAGACACGTTTTTACCAAATGCACAAAAAAAACTAAACGTATCAGCAGAAAAATAAAAAAAACAGCTGCCATTTTTGTATGACATCATAATAAAACAACGACTTAAACATGACTAAAATGGACTTAAAGGGGATTGATGAGCACAGAGTACACTCCCACTTGTGGGTGGCCTGTTTCTGACATGCTAACATAAATAACACAGTCAATTACTATTTAGGAAAACGTCATCTTAATCTTTTAAGGTGGTTTTGCTGCCAAACATCCATGTCAGAGCCTCCAAAATGGTGCTACCTTCAGCAGGAACGTTTTGGGCTTCGGTCCCCTCTTCTTGGGCCCGTACAGCTCCCTTTCTCGCTCCCTGGGTAAATAAAAAACAAACCCAAAAACAGGACAGCCTCTTTGAAGTGTCAGGCGACTTGAGAGCGGCAGTTCCGGTGAAGGCCCCCCCCGTCTTACCGCTGCTCGAAGGCGGCGAACAGGCGCGAGTCCAGGATGTTCTCCTCCGGCTCCCAGGTGCTGTATCTGCGGGGCAAAGCACGAGGTCAGCCCGCTGACAGGCGGCGTTAGCCCCGCGAGCTACCACCGTGCTCCCGTGCACCGTGCTAGCCGGGGAGAGCTAACCTCCGGCGGCATGGAGACAGCGACAGAGACGGAGAGTGTACTTACTTGGGCGACCATCCCTTCCACTTCACGAGATACTCAACGCGACCCTGCGCGCGCCGTCAGAAAGCAAACAGAAAACGGTTGGTTAGCGCGCGGGGAGCCGTTACAGCCGTTGCGTTGTGTTGTGTTCGAGGCTCCGGTAGAAAAACGGGCCCTTTTCGCCTCCCGCCTACCTTCCTTATCCGGCGTTTGATGATCGACTCGGCGGCAAACACCCTCTCCCCGACGGCGGACAGCTCCATGTTTACTCCAGTGCGACCTACCGTTAGCTTACTAACTGCTAGCAGGGCAGATATCCTACCCCCCCCGCCCCCCTTCCCTCCCCTCCTCTACCCCCTAGTCCCAGCCACTCTGAATTCCCGACAGACCATAATACTCCTAGCCAGAACGCACGTCAGTGACGTTTTTTTCCAGCGTTGCTTAGGAACCGCGGTCGGTGGAACCTCCAGAAGAACGCCGATTGGCTCAGCCGTTGCTACGTGCTGCGGTTGCCAGGGAGGGGCGGAGCTTGGGGGAATTCTTGGGGAGGGGCGGGGGTTGCCAATGGTGGCTATTTTACCCGCGAATCACGTCGCCTTGGTTATGCGATGAGTATTAAAAGTGCACGTGGTGTCAACAGAACGCGGACGGCGTCCAAAGGCGGAAGTGATGACGTTTCAAGGTTCATTTAATCAACAGTTTTAACCGTTTTAAGCGACGTGTTTACAGAAATGAGGCACTGACAGACCGAAAATGTGTCGGAAACGTCAACGCCATTATTTGTGAAATAAAACAAAATATTACAACTGAAATATTTTAGCATAATTTCACATAACTGCCTGTTTACCTTTTAATCTCCCCCCCTCGTTAGATGTTATTGGTTTGGTCTAATTTTCTAAAAGCCATGTCAGCATTAAGCCGGTTGTAAAGGTAAAAATTTGGATAACTGAGGGGGAAATATTATGAAATCCAAATTTTCCTCTCTGGTAAACCGACCTTTTGGATTTCTATCGATTACCTTAATCCATATAGAACATTTAGAGGTTTTAATAATCCACACGGTTAAGAAGAGATAAAGGTTCTTACTGTTTCTCAGCGTTTTGCAGAGGAAACAAGTTTTCGTTGGTCATTTTCTTACGGTTATTTCCCTCCTCAGATCAGACGATAACACAACCAAAATAAGCTCTTAACTGGGTAATAAATTATTTCAAGCATCGCCGTAATCGACAGTATCAGGAGACTCAGACAAATGATTAATTTATTTTTACCCCAATTTAAAACGTAATGAGATGCCAAGACGTTTGCCATATTGAGCCCTACATTAAATTCTGTATTAAATACTAAAGCCACGTTTAAAGAAGAAAAATCTCAACATACCAAGCCTTGTTTTCATACCATATAATTAACCAGAATTATATTTTTAAGTTACTATTATGACCTTTTTGGGGAAAATCTGTTTAAGGCTTTAGAAGTCAAATACTGTGGACTTGTGCTAATAAATGGAGACAAATGGCAAATAGAATAACCGTGGAAGACAATAAAATGTCAAATTATTTTTGATTAGCAGCAATAAACTCTAAATGTTCCCCTTTTCCCTCTTAAGGAAATAAACAGGCCTCTAGTTTCCAACTGTTTAACTGACCAATATGACTCTGATAGTTTCATTTTGCAGTCTGAAAGTAGAAATGCAGTAATTACAACAATTATTTTCCTAAAAGAAAGACAAGATGACAGATCTGGAGGTGGAAAAGGTCTAATATCTGGGTGGATCGCATCCTAGTAGCTGAGAATAAATATAAATAATCAATAATAAACTAATCATGTGAGCAACGGAACGATTTACGGCTGATTTTGAAAACTACGTCAGCAGAGAAACAGTGCTGGGTTCAGTTTTCCATCAGAAACCTTTACACTACAGTTTCTCCCCAAACCGGAACCGAACCGGAACCAAACCAGAACCGAACCCGGTCCAAAAGCTCTTTAGAGAAACCAGACATCAGTGGGTGCATCAGACCAGTACCGTTTGACGTTTTGTGGTGACGTAACCCAAAGAATTTGGGAAAAACACCCAATTGGCCAAAGTCGCTGTCGTGTTTGATGATTTGACAGATGACTAACCAATCAGAGAGCAAACAGCTGCCGTTGTCCTAGCAACACAAAGCTGGGGATCTGATAGGATGATGACTTTATTTATTTCTAATAATAAAAACCTTTATTTCAGCACTTCCTTCGTTTATGCAGAGACACAGGGAGGAATTTATTTATTTTTTTGTTGAAAATTGAAATTTGCTCGATGATTTTATCTCTTAGAGCTTTTGGATAATATTTTGGGCCCTCTCTGAAGGCCACTTCTCTCCATTTTAAAGCATAAAACCAGCCAGACTCTCCTTTCAGTTTTCTTCAGCCTCATTTATTCTTTTTTTATGCAACTGTTTTTCAGATGGAATTTAATAAATCATTTGAATATATTCCTTAGGCTTTAATTTAAATTCCATTCGATTTTTTATAATAATTTCCAAGATCTTAACACATTTTTTGTCCAAAAAATGGATTTTCTTCGTAGCACAATGCAATGGAAGTTGCATGAAAATGATTTAATTATTAAATGTTAATCGAACATCTTTTTCTCTACTCTTTTCATCGTTGCCAGTGGGCTAAATTTACACGCTCATCTACAGATAGTTAGGAGAAAATTAAATATGTTGAACCTGCAAATGAGGCAGAATATGAGGATTCATGCGTCAGACGCAGAAAGTAGAAACACTCACAGAGAAAACACGTTTGTGATGCCTGACAGTATTTGGATTTTAAACAAATAATTAACAAACTGCAGTGGAAAAGATCCACACCATGAAATCATCGTTAAATTATAGTTTCTCCTCTTTTGTGCCTGATCAGAAAGCTTCAAATGAAACCCCTGCAGGCTACGTGGAACCTAAAATATCCAGAGAGCTTCTATCATGACCGAAACAAACCAGAATTAAATCTGAAATGAAAAAAACAACAATCCTTTTTAAAGACACCCTCATCGGCTCTCAGAGTTGTTGCCATCCGGTTTATGTAAAGCTGCTTGTTTGTCGCGTTTGGTGCAGAAGTCTTCCGGATGTGAGTCGGTTTATCCTCATTTTTTGCGTAATTACGCACGTTTGTGTTGGTTTTTCGTCACGCTGCGACCAATTTATCTGCGCAGAATCCGCATCTGCAGCTGTTTTTAGATCAGATTAGGAAATATGTTGCCCCAGAATAGGGAGTCTGGGACCACTGAGGCCTGTGAGTCCACCTTAAGACTTTTTAAGGGGGTTCGTCAGTAAACTGGCAGCTTTCAGTGAGTCAGATTTCCTTTGTGGACCTGACTGGTAATCCAACTTAGTTTTGGATGATTTGAGCTCAGTGGTGTTTCTAGGTCTTGTTAGAATTTGGCTATAATGACTCACTTTAGCATTGTATGCTATCACATGATCTATGTAAATAACTGATTGTTTTATTTCCTTTTATAACTATATTTTTATTTAAAGTGTGTCTGTGTCACAGACTCTCTTTTCTCTCTTTTTCTCTCTCTGTTGCATTAGATCCACCTTTAGCTCAACACACACACACACACCATTTGTTAGCACATTCCTGTCATCTGCATGAATTAGGACCTGGCCTGTTCCTGCCCAGAGGTAACTGGCCAATAGGACTTGGTTGTGTCCAGTCCTCCTTTGAGGAGGCGGATGGAGCCCAGGAGATAATGCCCATCACCCAGATCTCAGGGCTCTTTTCCCACTGAGACCCAGAGAGAGGTTTTAGTCTGTCAGAGCCCAGCTCATACACTTAACTGTGTCCAATAAATGTCATTTTTATACTTTTGATCCATTCTGGTTTATTTCTAAGGTTTCCAACTAAAGAATCGGGCTAACAATCATCAGCCCTCCTCCTGGAAAAATGTCACCTTATCATCAGGGTTATTTATTTTAAGCCAGTAGAAAAGGAAACACACCATTTGGAGCCATTTGCAAACAGTTTTATTCTTTCAGAGCGTTTTCCGGGGAGCTTTCTACCAAAAGCTGATGTGTGTCACAGGAAATGTGCTTTTCTTCACACACTGAGACGGACCTGGAGGGGGGGCGGACAGAAACCGAACAGGGAGCAAAGCACCGACACACACAGCAAACATGAACCCACAACTCAAGTCTGACTGGACAGGAAAGGTGCTTTTTCTGTTTTAAATACACCTAACAGCCCCCGAGCAGCACCTGTTCACACACACACACACACACACACACACATCCACCGAGACACACACAAACACACACGTCCATCCAGAAACACACAAACACACACACTCTTCCACACAGTCACACACACACCCAGACACACACACATTTACCCAGAAACAGACACACACACAGACACACACACATTTACCCAGAAACAGACACACACACACACACGTCCACACACACACGTCCATCCAGAGACACACACACACAGACACACACACACACTAGTCCACCCATACAAACACACACACACACTCGGTGTAATTGCCCACCACTCGTCCTCCTTCCACCCCGGCCTTCGTTAGTTTGACATTAAATGTGAAAAAGCCGTCTGGGGGCCTCAGAAAACGGAATATTTACAGAAGTGCATCTGAAACCGAATATTTTCTGGATTAAAAATCTCCCCAAACGAAAACGAGAAAACGAGTCGCTCAGAAGTAGAAACTTGCAAAAAACGCAACCAAGGAGTCTTTTGTAAATCTGATATTTACAAATAAAAACGCCGCTTCGTTTTGTACATTCGAGCATAAAAATACAAATCTCTTTCTCTCTTTACATCCGTACATATGTACACCTGTTCACAGTGTGTTTGTGGGCGGGGCCTCAGGCCGCCACGTACTCCTTAAAGGTGACCGTCAGGCAGTTGGCCGTCACGTCCGTGATCACGATGTTCCCCAGGAACGGCTGGAAGGACGGAAAACCGTCCTCCGGCCGCTTTTCCGGGTCCGAAACCGGCGCCGGTGGCGTCCCGGACAACGTGCAAGATGGCGTCCCAGACGGCGTCCCAGATGGCGTGCAAGATGGCGTGCAAGATGGCGTCCTGGCGGAGGGCCGGGTCTTCACCATGCTCAGGTCCATGGGCTCCTCCTGGTCCGTGTAGCCGCAGTGGGCGGGGCCTCCGGCGCTCTGGGGCGGCGTGGATGGCGTGGATGGCGAGGAGGCGGGGTCAGCATGCTCCTCGCCGTTGGCTGACCCCTGACCTTTGACCCCGTCCGGCTCGCCGCCGCCATTTCCGGCCAGTTTTGCGAATCCGTTCACCAGTCCGAGCTTGTTGACCAGCTTCATCTTGTGGAGCTGCTTCTC